GTTAAAAAAAATAAAGATATTGTTAGGCAGTGTTGGAGAACCAAAGGTAATATATGCCACAAGAAAAAAAAGCATATTTTCCTTATTATATGGAAAAATTTGCTAGCCATTGAAACAACAAAGCTGAAGAAATCGAGATTTCAATTTCTAGTCAGGACACTCTGGTTCTTTCTGTTTTTTCTGATTACTCTTATCAGGTATCGAATCCACGACACTGACTTAGGATTTAAGATAAAATAAAAAAATAGGTGATTGAAAAAATCATATAAGTTCTCGACAAACGGCCATGCGTGACCGGGAAAATAAGATTACAATATGCGAATAAAAGGACAATGTAATGACAGTGAAAAGAAAAAGAAATGAATAATAATTATAGTGATGATACGGTACATTACGTAAAGTGATATATGTTCAATGATAAAAGAAAAGTGTACACCTTCAGTAAGTCTGTATACTTTAATATAAAAAATAAACACAAAACGTATAGCTATGCGAGGGGGGGGGCAGAGGGAGTGGGGCAACTAGGCGAACTTTCTTACTAATCCGAAGAACTAAGACGAAATCCGTTTATCTGTTACACTGAAAAGAGTTTGTTACGGTGTATTACATTACTCATTACGGCTTGGGAGGAAATTTCTATGCAGCTTCCGCCAAGGTACTTTTCTAGAATGCAAATAATACGAGTTTTACCTGGGAGTTTATGTTGCCCTCTCCCCCTTGCAATTAGGGAAAAAAGGTCATATTTCGACGGAGTAAGGTAAAAAACTATATGTGCTACACACGACGAAAGTATGGCATCAACTCCTGATAATGCCGTACTTTCGTCCTTTGTGGCGTAATATACTGTTTCCCCAATCCTACGCCAGGAGAAGAAATTTTTGTTACGTGAAGCGGGATGAAAGTTCCTTCTTTCGGCACAGTTCATGGTAAAAAATTTATTTAGCTATTACGATGATATTCTTCGGACACTTTTATGACAAGACAAAATTCAGTTCTTTGGCTGTTCATAGTTCATTGCTTAAAAAACTGAAACTTTAATTATCACCCTAAATCCTAATTTGATATTTCCTATTACATTCCCGTGCTTTCCCAAGTTTTACAGTAGACCCTCAGTTAATCAGACGGCTGTTAGCCACAGGCTGCTGCAGTTGACTTTCTATCTCTTTCTCTCTGTTCCTTCTACCTTTCAGTCGTATGTACGAGCAGACAAAAGGATAGTAAAGCGCTAGATTCGTTAATAAAGGATGACCCTACGGATTTTCCTACCGCATCGCATCGCCCATCACCCTTCCCATCGTCTCTAACTCCCACACACAGATGAATAACATAAAACGTCAAGTAATCACCGTAGTTCGTTGGCTACGAAGGTAACCCTAACTCTTTAAATTGTTCCATCTCTTTTTTTCTTCTCCTTCTCGTACTTCCCTTTTTTACCCTCCACTACTACAAGACACGTATACATAGGTATACATCTGTTGTTTCATTTTTTTACTCTTGCTCGATCTTTTCCGTGCTTTCGCAAACAAACGAACGACAGCCATAAGGAACGAGAGAGAAGAAGGAGAGAGAACGCGATAGCGCAGCAAGTACGTACCATTGCATTTATGCACTCGCGCGTGCACTACACACGCTCTTTCTCTCTGAAGAAAAACATAAAGAAAAGGGGGAGAGCTGGAGTTTCATAAGTGTGTGCGAGAATTCTCTCTCATCCTCTTCCTCTCTTGATCGCGTGTTATGTGTACGTACACTGGCTCCCATACACATATCAGTGTACTCCTTTCCTCCTTCTCCCTCCCCCCGTTGCTTCTGATGCAACCATCTTTCTCCATCCGTTCGTGCCGCCTCCTCCTCCTTTAGCTCCTCTCCCTCTTGTCCTCGCTGTACCCTCTTTATGCTGTACGTACCTATATATACAGTTTGCTCCGTGTGTACACTCGTATACAACATAGTACAGAAGAACAGAGGGAGCAAAAGAGAGAGAAGCGTGTGCGCTCGCTCCCTCGCTCGTATCGGAGCGCACAATAGATATATACGTGCCCAAGTATGTATACATATATATATATATATATATATATATATGTATACGCGGCCGTTTACTCCAGCGATGGTAGTCAAGAGGCCCGCTTGTTGTATTGCTGGTGTACCAACTCCACGTTTTATGTATGCCGTGTGTGTATGAGTCCGGTACGTGCTGCAGCAGCCGTCGTCGCCCTCAGAGCCTCGATTCGGTTCAAGCTCTCTCTTCCTCGTCAGTCTATCGGCAACTTGCGTACCCGTCGCGTCGCACTGTTCGCTTCTCTCCCCCTTTTTTATACAAATTCTCCATATATATAT